GCTATTTTCTGGGTTAATTTTTTTTTTTAGTTTTGGAAATTAAATTGTTATGACAAGAACGGCCGCAAGACCTCGCCAGTGAAAGGGAGGCCCTTATTGGCTGACATGTCCGTAACCATGATAACACCAATATCCTAACATGTGAAAGATAATTATAGTATCTTCCTTTCGTACGACGAATAAATGAAATTTTAGGATCAAGAAAATCTCAGTACGTCGTCAATATCTATGTTACAATATACGTTTTTTTAACAGTAGCGTTGGTGTAACATAAGGACAAAAATATTTTAAAGGCTTGAACTGCGAATGCTTGGAGCTGTGCAACGTGTATGGAATTTTACCATATTCATAGGAAAAGGAAAACACTGTGACATGAGATCGATATTACTAGCTTGACCGGAAGTATATAACAGAATTTCAAATGGTAATTAATAGATACAAATTCATAAAACACGAGCCATTAAAACAATTTTTTATATATATTTACAAGCACGAGTGAATCTATTTGTAAAATAGAAAGAGGAATGGTTGATTTATTTTATCTACGAAATCGGAGACGGCAAAATTTCAAACATAATGTCAAACTCAATTTGTGATGTCAAATTAATGAAGATGGTCAAGTTGTGCTGTCGCTTCGTTTTATTCAAGTTGCCGCAGCTCCTTTCTAAACTCTTGGTGAAAGCCACTATTGCCAACTCCATGCATTCGGCTACAACTGAAGCTCGTTAGGAACAAAGAATATACAATTTTATTGCATAAAATTTTGACTGAATCGTAACTGTGCATGCGCAAATATTTTTTGATCGATGTACACCAAATTCTCTAAACTAACATAATATTCAGTACGAAGAATTCTAAGTCTTTCTCATGCAAATGATGAACGGTTTCTAGAGAACGGGCCACTCCTACAAATATGACATTTTCATTTCCCTTTTAAAATCACGCTTCTACAGGTCTGTGCATAAATTCGTTTGTGAGGGGAGGTAAAATACTACCGAGGGACAAGTGCGTCTTGCTGCCCTCGCTGTTAGTACACCCTGTTTAAATTTGAAGATGGAAGGTAAAACTCCGGTTGGTAATTCAAAGCCTGCTGTAAAAAAGTTTCAGAAAGTCGTTAAGGATGTCAATCTTGTTCGGCGTCACACACAGCAGTTCGCGATCTTAGCCAGTAAGTACACAGATCTTCTGGAGATAATAAGTACACATTATAATTCTCTCATGCTCAAAAGACTCCAAACTTACGCTCACATCGAAATCACGCTAAATTAAATCAGAGCATTAACGATGTGGCGTGGAATCAGTTAAAATGATGTAATCGTAATAATACATTATTTGGTTAAGAGAAAGTAGTGGCCATGTTTCGCTAGTGATCCAGGAACGTTCAGATAGTTCTCATGTGTAGGTCTCACGTGAATGGGCTTCCCTATCTACACCAACGCTTAAGTGAAAAGTTGATGTGAAGAAAATGTTCGGTTTGTGGTTTTTACACTGATCAAGCAAAGTGAAAAGAAGTGGCAGTCAGAATTAAACGAGGCTGTAATATTCACTAGTGTTTACGCAGCTTTGTTCTTACGTGTTTTATTCCGATACATTGTTGATAAATATGTATAAAACATATAACTTCAAAAAATAAACAAAATTGCTTGTAGAATTTATATATAAAAACATAACCAAACCTGCTATGTTTTGAACAAAATTGGATACAATTATCAAGAATAAACCGTGTTTTACAGGCTTTATTTTAGACTTGAACTAGAATGCCGGATGTTTCTTGCCAGTGAGTGTTGTGCGTTGTTGTGTTTATATTACTCAAAGAAAAATTAATTGCTGCAGTATTTTTTAATTTCAAATTGTTTATAGAGTCAGGTGGAAGCAGGAAAGCCTCACGAAAATGTTCAAAAAATCATTCGAATCAACATTTCTCGTGCGAACGTATTTTATCTCAAGTATGACAAAAGAGGTAATGTTAACAAAAATGTTGACACAAGTTGATCAACGGTGAACATAGCTCATGTAAATGTCCAAATTTAAATATTAGTTTTTTTCCCCCATAAATCCAGTTAATAGCAGTATCTATAGTGACTCTTCTGTCATATGACTTTCGTGCCTAATTAACTTAAAGCTACAACGCAAGTTACCAACTAGGAGTAGTTCTATAGTAAGTAGCAGTAGACTGAGTTACTAGGAGGAAATAGCCAGATCTAGGAGCCCTGTCTGAAGTCGTTCAAGGTTGGTAGCTGCTCCAGTGTTCACACTCTTTCCCAGAAGTGAAAGGAGTCTAATAATGTGACACACTCTGCCTCTGGGCTTGATCAATTTAAAGGCGTGTTTCTCAGTCGCAAACCTGTCCCACTGACTGTTTGATCCTTTTTGTCGGAAAGAGCGAAAACGGGAATATTGAACTAAGTTAAATAAAAAAAAAAAAACGAAAAATCATGGATACTTAAGACAAGTTCCCCTTTTTTTCTTCGTCCCTTTTTACAATTACGTTGGCGTTGAGCGGAAGAAAGGTAATAATTTATATTTTTGTTTACCCATCCCAATCTCCTACTCTCCCCTTTGTTCAGCCCCATGCGGTTTTCTATTTTTTATATTTCTCGCGCTCGTGACTATGCTCACGAGAAAGTAAAAGGTCTGCGAACAAATTTGTGCAGTTGAGTCTGTTTTTAGTTTCAAAGACCAATTCCAAATCTCAGACGTCAGTCGAAATTCCTCAGAAGTCGTCCCTGACTTAGCTTAGAATTTAAAAAGCAATGACAATCAATCAAAATCAGCATAAAACTACATATCTACAAATGAAAACGGCTGTCACAGAAAAACAATTATCTTGCACTTGGTCATTGCTCTTCGTAAAATCTCCTTTGAGCATTTTCAGTATTGCCATAGTTATTTTTACTTTTACTAACACTGCATGTGTACTTTTGTGAATGCCTTGTTTGTATAATTCGGTATGAACAAAATGTATTAACTAAAGATTGTTTTATTTACTCATAAGCTCGTTATTTTTTGTTCCTTGGTGAATTTTTTGTAACTTGTCCGTGATTAGTCTTGAATTGTTATCAGCCTTTGTCGTTCTTATTCTTTTCTTCGAGTTCAACTAGTATATTTAATTTTCAAAAAAATAATGAACATTAAATACTTTTTTTTAAAACACGATCGTGCTCACAATTTTTGTGTTGATATTAAAACAAAATGGAATTTCTTGTATTAATCGAGCTAAAATTAGAACTAAACGATCATTTCGACAAGCCAACCCGTAAAGATGGTTTGCAAATTTTTTTTGCTTGTTTTGAATCAGGTCAATGCAGAAATATGCCTTTTTATTATTATTTTACGACGTGGAAGCATGCAACATTTCACGAAAACTTCAAACGCATTTTTACGCGTTAGTATTTATATTCAAATTAAGTTGACCTTGCGGTGCCATTGTCGACTAGCGGCTAAGTAGTTTGACTATACATTTGCATATCTACCCTAAATTGAGCAGTCAACTGTTAATTAAGTACAGACGAACAGTAATCTTGACGAAGTGAGAGCTGCTTTAAGCATGGGAGACCGTGAAGTAGAAGCTGCTCGCCAGAACTCCATTAAACTGAAGAAAAAAATACAAGACCGCACAGGTATGAAAACTTTGGAACTTATTTTTCCGTTGAAGGCTTAACCATGGCGAACGCGTGTAGCAAATGCTCGATTGATCAAATTCTCTTCGATTACGGAGTGTGGGCTTTGATAGCTGCGACTGCGGGCATTGTGAATGAATGTAGCAAAGGCAGGTTTAATTTTGCCTGCCGAAGTTTAATTTTGTGCAGTGTGAATGAACAAAAACAGTCAGGGGGTTGCGGGTTCATGCCTTTAGTCAGTCTAATCCAGTTTAAACCCCGTCATTCTACCAGTTGTAAACAATCTGGAACTTTGCATAATACGAGCTTCACGTACCCTGTAAATCTTAATGGACACCACAAAAGCTCGTTCACTTAACATCAATGTACTTCGATAGCGAAAAGTCGATGCTGGCCAGACCAACATTTGCCAACATTCGAGAGGGAGAGAAAAGTCACGTTTGGTTGTAAAAGCGGGAATAATTTAAAAGACTACTTGTATGTTAAAACACTCGTGTTGATCCAAGGCACTTGACATCGACTGCTTTGATGCTGGTCTTTATTTCGAAATATTTGACAGGAAATGAACAGAAACGAAATTTCTGACCTCGGATATACTTTGCTTAGGAAAAACATGACCGAATCACAACACAAACTTTTAAAAAAAAAAAGTGGTAAATTTTTTTTGCTTTGCCTTCAATTTCTCAGATATGCTTGGAATTTAGTTCACAGCTATGTTAACATATAGAAACAAGCTTATTAATACATAAGTAATTTTAATTGCAGCTTAGGTTTTTTCCTACGTAACAGCATGCATGTTTTGATGCGTGGTGATAAATATGGCTTGAGTTATGTCTCGGGTATTAAAACGACTTAAACTTGTGTAGTGGAGTGTAACGAATTCAATAACAATTCTAATATTGGCATCTTTGCAATTGTTTGATTGATTGGAAGAGAAAGGAATTATTTCAAACTTATGTCTAGCAAATGATATTTAAGTATGAAAAGTAAAATGTCACGTTTCAGTGTTAAAAGCTGTAATGAAAAAGTAAAAATAATGGCATAAAATCATTCGAAAAGAACACTCTTGAGATATAATATTCTGCTCAGTCTCAAATCTCGTTCTATCAATATCCACACATTTGTCATAAGCAAAGTGACAACATTTAGAAAAAAACATTCGTTTATAAGTAATCAGAGAGAGAATTTAACAGTGTTGAAATTTAGATATTCAATTAACTCCATGCCAACGTACATTTCAAAGCTTGCATATATAAAAAGGCACTTAAAAACACTATCGTTTGTTTCTTTGTTAGTGGGACAATTATGACATTAAAATATTCAAAGAATTTTATTGATCGAGGGACGAAAATAACAAAACCGCGGACGAAGGAGTTCAGATAGGAAATTAACAAAGGGGGTAAGGTTGAATTACAAACGCTAACAGAGGGTTTACCTCAAATGACCACCAAACGTGGACAAATCAAACAAGACAAATGAAAACAATACAAGTTCATGCGGACAAAGGAAACAAAATCACTTGGAAATAAACAAACCATTCAAAGAAGAAGTAGGGACTAAGAAGTTAAATCATATCATGCGAATTTTCTTTTTGTAAATATTATTATGTGATTTCATTACAGGCGAGAGAGAAACCTTACACAGGAAAACATTTACCAAATGGGTGAATGCAAAGCTTGCTCAGGTATTGATAAATTTCCGCTCACTTTAGAGACATGAATATTCTACTTTGAGTAAAAAGTCAGGCTTATAGCTTCATTTATTTGCAATATTGTCGAATCAGTTCAATTCTTTGACGCGTTTGCTTGTGAATTGTATTGTGGTCAACAGGAATTCTGGGTTTTCTTGATAACAAAAATGCGATATATCTTTTTTCTTATTAACCACTGGATTTATTTAAAAAGCAATATTATTTACATGAAAAAATATATATATTGGGAGCTGTTCTACTCAAAGGGAGGACCCACTCATTACAAATGTTGGCAGATGGTAGAGACGCTTATTAATACTTATGTATATTTTTTCCTCGTAGCATGACCCTCCACTTGAGATAAGAGACATCGTTATTGACTTGATGGACGGGAAAATGTTGTTGAACCTGCTGGAATGTCTTCTGAATTGTCCATTGGTAAATATTACGATTAATCCAATCAAAACGAAACTTAACGCATTTTTTATTGGGGATAATAATCAGTGTAAAAGTGAAATGCACTCCTGCCGGTGCAAAAAAATAGTAGTTTAATAAAGTTCTGTTGGGGTGTCCAGATAAAATTGCCATGCCCTGACAACGCGTCTTAGAGAAATAATAAATTTCGTCATGCTATGCACAGAAACTG